GTGCCACTTCACATGAATGAGTTTAAAACTGGTCTACCAGGACACTGCCTTTCTTCAGGGCAAATCCCCCTCAGGCTCTCTGTAAGGGTAGCTTAGTTCCACAGCCATTTGGCTGGAGCTCTAATAAGAATCATTTAACTGAGCCTGCAGCAAGAAACTCTGAAGAGCATGTCTTTTCATTAGTTGCCTCCAAGGTTTGTCCATGCTCTTACCTCTCCATAATAAATGCATTATGTCTTTTGGCTGTGGAAGCTTAATTATGTACCTTCCTGTAAGCACTTACCTGTAGCCTTTGAGTGGTGTTTCATCCCATTCACTTCTGAATGTACATCCAGATGTACATAAATATTTGCAATAGTATAATCCATACTGGGCTTTCTCTGTGGCTCTTTTTCCTGTGTTATTGTCAGCAAACTGTACAACAAAATCACCACCACCATTTCAACCACAGCAGAAATTGAATCACCTTAATAAAATTAGTACAGTAGGTGCTGGAACAAATGTTTTAAAAATGGGATATCTGCTACATGGGATTGAAGAGGACTGGGGGATTTGAGCAATTGAGAAACATAATGAAAGCTACAGTTCAATTTATTTTACAAATGTTTGACTCCTTTGAAAAAGATTTTACTCAATTTTTTTTTTTTATGTCACAGAGAGATATCAATTTATCATTTGAATCTGTAGAAATGTGGGTTAATGCTAGAAGCAGTTGGCAATCCTTGAAGTTTCTCCATATGGGACTTCAACTTAAATCTGGAAAGAGAGAATATTCACACAAGACAATCAGGATCTTGCACAGTCCTCATAAATTCCTTTTGTCACCATTCCTCTTCTACCTCGGTGCCAAACCTGTTTGTGTATCACAGAGACTGCTCCAGCCTGGGCAGACTGAGCACCCACATGCACTTTTTGAGTCTCTTATTTTGGTTTATTTTAAATATCTACTAAAAGTAGATGTCATTTAAATGCAAATGGAGGATACAAGTTGAAAGAGTGAATCTTAAATGGCTGCTTTTTCTTCACGGCTTTTTTTGACCTGCTATCTCTCTTCATGGCTAATTCCTTCATAAATACAGAGCAGGAAAAAACCTATCAGCATCTACTGGTTAAACATGAAGCATCTTTCCAGATTAGAAAGCACTGAGTTATTGCAGTACAAGCTTAGTCAGATATGGAGAGAAAAATAAATATTAGGGAAAAGAAGGGATTTAATTTAAAAACCTCTCTCCATATCAGTTGATTTCCAAAACAAAACCTTAAAGAGATCCAGTTGGAAACAATGTGAAAGAAATTGCAAGAAATGTTGTTAATGAGATTGTATCTGCTGAAATTGGCTAAGTACTTACACAGGTTGCTGAAGGAAATTCGATGCTTGATTCTTTCAGACTATATGGATGTTGCCAGAGGTGGTATTCTACTCACCTACAGGACGCTATCTTCAACTTCACATCTAAAAAAAAATTAAAATTTATATTAATCATCTCATTTACAAGCTACTGGTACTATACATGTCACTGCAGATTAAATTACTCATTGGCTGGGTTTCAAATAGAAAACAAGGCTCTGCTCCCACATCTTCCCTTTCTATCACACTGATTAGACTGCTATTTGCATTCTTTTCCCATCTGGAGCATTCAGCAGAAGGGATTGTTTAGCTCTGGAAGATTAAAATTGGTCTGATGACAATCTGATGGAAGTTTTCTCTTGTTTTCATGCTGGCATTTTGGAATGCACTAGTTTCTATTAGGCCTGTGTGGGCCTAATCACTGGGGTGGGTAGCTAGCCAGAAATGATAGGTCATGGCCCCGCTATGATCTGGTGCTGAATGGTGCAGGCTTGCTGGGAGGGATAAGTCCTTTGCATTTCCTATGGTACCACAGGGTAAGAGCATTTGACCACTGAGTAGTAGATTATATGCTTCTACTTCAGGCCTGGTTTTGCTGTCCCCTTGCTTTGATGACGTCCTAAGGGAGGAAAGAACCTTCCAGGCTTGAGAAACTAGAGAAGTGCATCCAGGAGCAAGGCAGGTTCTCCATCACTTCATGCATTGTGTCCAGTTCTGTGTTTGCAAAGAGGAATGTTCCCAGGGCAGAGGAGTTGGTATGTGAGCAGGGTTCCTTCTCACCAGTGGCAGAGCTTACAGTGACCAAATTGTTTTGAGCATCCTCTCTACTATCCTGTTGCTTACTGAAAAATCTAGATTACCACCTGCTGAAGGAATTGTCTCTTCATATTGTGATGACTTTCATTGTCTCATTAGGAGCAGGGCTCTGGGCCTGGGGGGTATTGCTCTGCAGACTCTCTGCCTGCTAGATCCTCTAGGAATTTGCTCATCCATCCTTGAATCACTAATTTCTCATATATATGGGTTTGAGACAGCTGTACAAGACATAAAATAATGCAGAGGTGTATGCGTATCTACAGGATACACATAAACTTCTAGGTGGCGCCTGGGAGAAAAGAGATACAGGACATAGTTTAGATGCCTCTAAACACCCTGGTTTAAACTACTGCATTGAAATCTGTGGTAAGGACATTTCTCTCTGTGCACCTCTATCAAAACTCCTGAGAGGGAGAGGAATGTGCTTGCCACAGAAATCTAGGCTATCCCTACCCCACAAAAACACCCTATAATAGAGTAATTAATCTATGAAGGGCACAGGAGGTCTAATGATTACCCATAAATGCTGCTTTTGTTTATCTTACAGAGAATAAATCAGGTTTCTGACGGCAATTGTTGTTCTTCCTGATGATCTTACTTGCTTTACATTTTTTTACATTTGTGTAAGTCTTTGTATCACTAAGCACGTATCTGCAGCTTGAGGTCAGTTCTTTGTGGGGCTAGAAGCAGGCAGTGTTTTGTGCCCTTCCAGATGGAGATGGCAGCGTGCAAGGCTATGCCAGGCTCCTGGAAGCAAAGCTGCCTTTATTGCATCTCTTGGACCTTCCAGGAAACAGAGAGAAAGAGCATCTTACAGATTAGTTGTTTCCCAGATAATCAGAATAAGCAAACTGATTATTAACAACCTGTCATTCAACTGTTGATGAAAGCACTAAATTGTATTCTTTAACTTGGTTCTCCAGGACAGTTATCATGATGATTTGAATCATCAGTCTGAGATGTATCAGTTAAAAAAACCAAAAGAAGTATTGCAATCTTAGCTGACTAAAACATTACACTTTGCTTTTACTACAAGTCTTATGAAGGGGCTCCCTGTGAAGATTTTTTAAGAGAGGAGACCAAAACTTCATTAGAACATTTGAGTTAAATTTTCTCTCTTTCTTGATATCTGTACTGCTGTCAGTTCCAAAAGTTGATATCCCATATCACAAATTATAGGAAAGCTGACATCTTCCAAGGACATTCACAGCGAAAGCTTTATGTTTCAGGAATGGTTTTTATGTGCTACTTCGGGATCATAAAACACACATCAATCCTCAGTCTACTATGCAAATACTGTTTTTATATATATCTTTGCAGAAGTATTTTGAAAAACGTTGGCTACTATTTACATTTATTTCTCATTTCCCAGGACTGGCTGTTTAATCTCTCATCTTCACCTTACTTTTTCCACGGTCCAACAATGCATTTTACTTGTCTGTTCTGAATTGCATCAGGCTTGCATGTGGAAAACATAGTGTTTAACCCACCCCAGAAACATTCTTTTCTGAGACAGGAAAATTATTTTACTGTGGTTGAAATTCCCTTTTCAAATGTGAGCTACTTTATTTTATGGAACAATGAAAGGAAACCACACTGACTCCATATAAGCACACAAGTTGTAAAAATGAAAACTGACAGGGAAACACAAATGAATATCACTAAGCATGTGATATCAATCACTAAGATTGTTGAGTTTAAGGTCATATTTTAAAGGACTTGTTAGGGAGTACAAGAAGGGTAAAGGGAGAAACCTGGAAGTCAGCCTGCCTGGGAGAGCAGATCATTAATGCAGTTCCAGAGACACCTCTATTTGGAGTGGTTCTGAGAAGTACTAGTAGAAAAGATATTGCTGGTGTTTACTGCAAATTGTAAATAGTCAGGGCAGAATAAACACAGCATGTTAGATAGACATAAAGAAGGAAATGAGATTGTTATCAAACCCACATATCCCATTACATCCAAACTCAAGATCTTTCCTGGTTATGGAATATGACCTGAGTGATGCTTCTTAGCAGATTTTCCCAGGTCTTATTAATTTTGGTTGGAATCTATGGGAAGGCAGAGGAACTTGTTTAGGCATTAGGTAGCTGAGAAAGTCTGGAATGGAGGCTTTTCCCCTCCTTACTCAAGTCATGTGGTGCCTCATAAATATTTTCTATTTGCTTTGAAAAGGAAGTTGTTGTGCACATTAAGTGAGCCAACACGCAGTGCTGGAGAAGAAAGGTTAATAAAGGAGGGAATAAAACTTATGTTCTCTTTACAGTGGATGAAAATTAAGACAGTTGGAATACAAAATGTGATCAGAATACAACTTTGTACTCACAACTGTGAAATCAGTCTCTCCCATCCTACTCTGTCCTTCCTAACCTTCATCATTGCCCTGCTCACTTTGGGATTTTCAGATGATGGTAATCTTTGAGGGTTACTCCTCATTTGCACTGCTCCCATTCAGGCATTTTTCTGTAATCTCTTCCCTATTTTACTGCTACTTCAGCATTCCCACCAAAACTTTCATCTGGATGTTGACTACTCCACTCCTGAAATACTGAAATATCTTCTGCTCAGCCTCCATTTTTCACTTTCTTCCCCAAATCATATTGGCCCACTTGTCCTGCCTTGAGCAGACATCCTTCCAACCATGCACATGCACACATCTTTTGGCTCTCTCCTCAGGTTGCCCTTGCTTTATCCATCCTATTCTAAACTTTTGGTTTTACCTTATATGGTCCTGCAGGCAAACATCCTGTGGCATTTCTTCTTACTTCTTCATACTGTATTCATCTGTTATCAGTGCTTCACCAGTTCTCTTTTTCCACCCATGTTCTTCATGCAAGACTCAGAAAACAGTAGCAGCTGAAGAAAGATCTGAATAAGGATTTTAAGTATTACTCTCTTGTACCTTAAGCAGTGGAATGGTTCAGTCCAATACTTTCTGAATACAGACACGGGAGTTCTTAGAGAAGAAAATAGCATTACTACAACCCCTTTAATGGGGTACTCATTAGTGCAATGAAGACCTAACATGTGGGCAAGTGCTGATGAACCTGCTTTATCCCTTTCAAGTGCATAAAACTGTAAGAAATTGCAATAAATACCAATGTATTCATTCAGGCCTAGCAGACTTGAAAAATTGTAATTCTGATTTCCATGCAATGTCATGCATAGTGTGTTTTTTGTGAAGCAGTAGACTATGCTATACCTCCTGTGTTAATTGAAGGCACAAAACCAGAGCTGATAAGGATTCCCATGAGCCTGCAGCTCCACTAGTCACTGTTACTTTTCAGGCATAATCTCTGTTACACATTCCATCACTAATATAGTAAAAAAAAAAAAAAAAGCATTTATTTTTGGAAAATGCCCATCAGTGTTGTAAATGACTGTGATCAACAGCTTGGACATCCTAATTGCAGCCTATTAGAAATAATGAGATTTGCATGGTAGAACCCAGAGAATTACAGATAAAGGAAAAAATTCTCAACGTAAAGATTAATATAAACATATACTGCCTGTGAGTGCAAAGGACACATAAATTGGCAGCTCATTACTGCAGACTGACCCATGGGTAGGAATGTCACCCAGCTCAGAGGCTTTCCCAGGAAGTTTGGCTGCAAAAGTTACAAAAGATAAGGACATGCTTGTGGAATCCACTAAACTAATGAGAGCTGAAAGTTGTTTGAAATATCCCAATGACCTCACAGATGGGATGCTTATTAAGGTATCTGCATCAGTCTCTTTTTTGTCTAACAGATTGTTGTAAAGCTTTGCTGAGGCGTAGCCAACAGTCCGTGAAGGTGTCTCCATGCTTTCTGACATACTAAGGGCTAGGGTTTTTTTAGGTTAGGTTTTTTTTCTGAATGAATTCAAAATGAAAACCAACATGCAGATGCAATTTTTGTTTACAGGCAAATTTGTGGAATAGCACATGCGAAGCAGTCAGTTGTGATTACTTCATCAACACGGGGTCTGCCCGCTACCTACGTGCCTAACTGCTCGAGTGCGCTGGTCAGGAGCCAACTGCAAATTTAGGTCTTGAAAGTCTGAAGAAAAGCGCTTTATGTGCAAGGGTCCCATGAAGGCTTCATAATGCAATTAAGCCCCATTTTAACAAAAGGCTTGCCATTTTGCTGAGGCATGACATGAGTAATTAAAATATCATTTTAAAAAAGACAAATGAGTGTTTTTCTCTACTCTCTGATATTGTTTGAGATAGATGGGGGAAAAGATTATGATTTTTGTTTGTTCCAGGGTCCTTTGAGTGGAAATCACAGGCAATCCAGTAAGCCTGCAGCAAAACACACCTATGCAAGCCCCTATGGGGATCCCAGAAATGAAATAGTAACAAAGCCTATTTCCTTCCCTTCTGGAAAGAAGTAGGTTTTAAAGCACTTTTCTTTAAGTTTGTTGTAGATTACTGTGTAAATATACAAGTGTTTTAGTATAATCTAGGCATGAAGGAAAAGGAAATGCATAGTACAAATTGGTACATAGATTTTGCTTGTAGTGAAATGGTGCTGGAATGGCATGAGACTCTGGTGGGCCAATCAAAAGAGTGAGAAATGATCCTAGGTTGAAAGATGGGAGCTGTAGTTCTAGTGATTCCTAAAGATGAGAAAAGAAATATAAGTTTGGAGGAGAAATATTATGCAAGGTGTGTTGAAGGAAGCACATTTCAGTAGCCCTTTTCTTTGTTTTTGCTAAATCACGATGACATGTAACCATGGCAGTTCTTTTGGCCAAATTGTGATGGATAGTTCCTGTGAGGCAGAGGTGTGGTGGATATTGCATTCAGCTCATTTCCCTAGATTGGGATGGAGCTCATTGTCGCCATGAAATCCATTATTTTAGAATATATTGTCATATTGCTGTGAGATGCTCACTGCAATGAGGAATTCAGTAATAACCCAAATGCTGCTGAATCCTACTGCAATGTTTGGCAACCTTACATTCAGATTTGAAAACCTAATTTTAGATTCTTAGATGGAAAAGATAGATGGAGAGGGAGTGTTTTTGGGAGAGACAAAGAGATAGAGAGAGAGAGATGGAAAATCTTGTTAGAAAAATAGCAAGTGAAAACAAATTAGAGACCCACTGAACACCAAACCAACTAGGTGCTTTTGGGGCAACACAAGTCAATACATCTCTTCAGTACGCATCCTCTGACTGTCTGACAATTTCCTTGGATCACTCTCAGAAAAGAGCACAGCAGCAAGTCACAGATACAAACCCACCATTTTGTTAAATTACTCCAGTGTCTCTCTTGGCCTTTTCCTATGGATCTGTTCCTTTGCTGTCCCACAAAAACCTCCATGGTTTCAGCTGTAGTGGGCAGGAGTCCTCCCATACATGAGTGACCCTCGTCCTTTCCCCACACCTTCTTCCCGCTGCAGGCTCTGCTCTGAATTAAAAGAGCAAAGAAACTCAGGATTAGTGATTAAAGTAAAAATCAGGGAAGATTACTGTTGTGGCTCTGCTAGCTCTGAGCTCTTGAGCGTGGGTGAAGGAGCTGACAGACATTGGGCCCCAGGGAGCTCCATTTCCTACAAATACCTTTAGCAGTGTGAAAACCATCACAAATCTTTACCCTAGCTGAGGTGGTGCTCTGTTTGTCAGCCAGTGAAGGTGACTGAGTTTACTGGAGGAGATGGACTCTGCACATTCTCCACAGCATTTCTCTCCTTCCCACTCTTCCAGCCGACCTGATAGCTATTTTGATGTAGGAGTTATGATTTCATTCAAACATGGTGAGAACCTTGGGTTAAATGTTGATTTTTCACACCCTGAGGCATTAAAATCCAATAGTCCAGTCACAAAGGTTTTTACATACAGTGAGAAGTATGTTCACTTCATATACTTTTTTATTCCTGCAAAACAAAAAAGCTATTAATACATGTGCATGCATTGGGCTGTTGCTATGACATTTCCATTATGCTAAAAAACAGGATTTAAAAGCATTCCAAAACTGGTATTCTGTTGGTTTCTAACTTCCATATATATTAGAAAAAGGAAAAGGTTTTGGGTTTTCTGAGAAATTACTGAAGATAGTGAGGGAAGGGCAGAAATACTCACACTTGAAAGTGGTTATTTTAAGCACCCTAGTAATTCTGCTGTAGGACACAAGACATCGTGTGTGTCTGTCAGGGGAGTAGTTGGTCCAAGGATTCGAGTCCAGCAAAGGTTGTAATTCAGTTTTTATAACCCTGTGCTAGATCTGAACTTCTGAACTCAGTATTATCCTATGTTTGTCCTCCTGCTAATGTGCCCATGAGCAGCTGTGATACCGTTACATTTCCATTTTCCCCAGTGTGCTGCCATGCGGTTCCATATTGAAATGAAATGGAAAATGATTTATTGTGTGGGATCCGGTTTTTGTCCTCCAGAGTGTATGAATGTAGATCTAGGGCGATTTCCCATGCTCCTGGAACTAGGTTTTGCACGAATAAAATGTCTAGAATCAACAAATGGGAAAACCACTCCAGAACACTAGAAAAATAGGAGCATATTTGCCTTTCTGTGTTGGTCCAACAGGGCTTTGCTGGTGTTGCTAATGACTGTGAATTGTCTTACACGTAAATTCTCTAAACCCCTTCGCCTAATTACATTTCATAATTCTGTGGAGCTGAATACACAAATGATGTTAAAATAACAGTCATATGATACCTCTGAATTCTTGATGTGAAGTTATTGCAAGTTTAAGATAACTGCTACAAAGAGCCATTTTACAGAATGAAAATTCCGGAGAAACAGGAATTGATGATAAAACATTACTTTATCAGTATTACAGCAGAAATCCAGACAGTAGAGGAGATATGCAAACACTTAAATAAATGGGCTAGTCTGGTGTTAATTGAGGCCCCGATGAAGTATACATCACTTAAATTATTAAACGTTATGGTAATTGATGTTGTTCTAAGCTCATATTTTATACTATTACTCTCAGGGGATGAATTTCTGCCAATCTTATCCACAGACCCAAGCAAATCTCTCTCCCAATGGGACTGTTTGATTTCATGATATGCGATACTTTTTGTCTGCAATAACATCAGAGTTGTTTGTCTTCTTATTTAACACTGTAAACTTTTAGGATGTGTAGCTCTACCTCATGTATAGCCCATATCATTCCAGGGCTTGTGTCTCCACTGGGACTTTCCGGGCCTATTGCAGCACAAATAATAGTAAATAAATATAATTTCTTTCTCAGAAGAAAAGAAGTATCAACAGCTGGATTTTCACTTTGTCTCACTCATCTAATGAGAACATCGTCCATTCTTGACCCAAGAAAGTTACTGAGAGGGGAGTGATGAAAAGATTTTATCCTCAGTAGAGGATCACAGAAGATGTGGCCGAAGTACTAAGACTTGAATATATTTTGTCTGTGATGTTGGCAGACACAATCCTCTTACAGCCAAAAAGATATCCAAGAGCTCATGTGGGTCTGATGAGGAAAAGGTCAAGTATATGGCATTTCTGGAGAGTTTCAAAAGCTTGGGAATCCATTGACTACTACAAATCCTGACCACTGATTTTTGCTTCAACAGTTTATATTTTCAGTAAAAGCAGAAAAGGATGATAAGACTTTCTAAAATGTTAAACCTTCCTTTCTGTTAGCCAAATAAATACTAAGAAATGGGGCAAATGAAGGATGGTAGTTTATTTGTGACTTTTCCAGATAGTGCTATTTGTAAGTATCCTTCTGGGCTGATCAGGGGACCAGGGAAAGAAGATGAAGACAGACTTTGCTGAAACAACTTACTTTTTTCCATTTGGAACAAGAATGTAGGTTGATGGGTGAAACAGGATCCCGCAAAAAGATGGAATGGCTGAAGTGGCAGCAGTCAGTCTCCAATGGCAGACAGCAGCGACTTTTTGCATTGTGGCATTGCATGCTTTATAATGTGTCTCCAAATTATTAATTTTGAGGATAACACCGTCCTCCATGGTGTTGCAACTTGCAGCACAAAGGTGATGGGCACGCCTTCAGACTGAATCACAGAGCAATGGCTGAGTTGTTTTTTTAATACTAAAGAGAGCTGTCATTAAAAGTTACTGAAGCCTGACTTTTCCTCGCTCTTTGTCAGCCCTCCTTAGCCTGGGCTGAAGATCCCATGTCCTTTGAAGCCATTTGAGCTCTCTTTGTTGTTCTTTGGTGCATAATGATGCACCAAAAGCAGGCATCTGCTGCTGAGGAGGCCCAGCAAGACTTAACGAAGCATGACTGGTGGAAAGGCCATACTGAAGTAAGCTGGGAAGCAATCCCCTGCAGTTTTCTTTGAGCTCTCTCTGCCTGCTGGGATTAAAGGTGCCTGTGAAAAACCCAGTGCTTCCTTTGCCAAGCGTAGGGTCCGACTCTGTGTTTGGTGTCTTGTAGCACATTGGATAAAGCAAAGGATTTAGGACTTTAAGGTTATTGGCTTAATGTGACTCAGTTAATGACATGATGATTTCGGCTGGTGGGGGCAGTGTTGTTAGCCAGGACATGTTGGTTGAAAATGATAGAATATGTCATTTCTGAAAAGGCTGACTGCTGTCAGAACCACTGCTTTCTTAGGTATTTACTTTCCCATTTTGCCATACTGCAAGTATTAATAGTTATTTCTATCACATATTATCAGCAAGAAGCTGACAACAAGATGAGTGATGAAGCCACTTCGTGTGAGCATTCAAAGGGGCCTGTAATTGGTATTATACTCTCATCACTGCACAGAGAGAACAATTTCTGTCCTTATAGAAAATTCCAGCATCCAAGGGATTTTTATTGGAAGTTAAAAAAAGTTAAAGAAACTTAGAGCATGGGGTCACCTGCCACATACCCTAACCATGCAACATCTGCACTCTTTGTGTCTCTCTCTGCTTTGCAGATCCACACTTGTTTTCATCCTGGGATTGCCACTCACGGCTGTGCATTGTTACTGCTGTCTTTTCGTCTCTCACATGCAGGGCAGATGCCATTTCTTGAAACAGAGAAAAGAAATCAATTCTGCTAATGATTAATTCAAAGTTCATTCCTCTCAAGAGCCTTCATATTTTGTAAAATCTGGGTACAGGAAAGAGATGGCCACATAGAGCAACCTCTCCCTGTAACTGGGAGCAGGAAAAAAGTTGCCTGTGTCGCTAAGAGCTTTTGGCAGTTTCACTTGCATTTTATGACCCATTTGGTGCCGACGAGGAATCCTTATTTTCTGTGCTTCTAATAGGCTTCCTACACTGGCCACCCGCTGGAATGAAACAGGAATGAAAGGGGGCGTTGAACTCAGTTCCCTATATATTTTAACTATTTGCAGTGTGCATTGTTCTGCTCTCCTCCCAACTTCTGTTCTTTCCTCCTGTGGACATCCTTCAAAAAAGTCAAACTCTAGAAACAATAATGACTCCAAGGTGCTCCTGCTGACATGATTTAAATTGAATTAAGCCAATAATTTACATATCAGAAAAATCTCTGTTTTTAATGGATTTTAATTGGCTACACATTCCTGAGCCCTTCTGTTCTGTGCCCAATTAAATGTGGTAAGTAAAATCTTGTTCTTGTGATGTATGACAATATGCAGAGTACATCTGCCTACAGATTTATTATTCAGTAAATTTCATCTGCATGGTTCAATGGTAATTAAAATAATAAACACCATGGAGTCACCAGTTCACCCAAATAATTTCTGAGAGATGAGATGAACAGTCCAAAGTCTATCCAAGAAAAATAAGTACAGCCACTGAAGTCCCTTTTTACTGTTTCTTTAACTCCTCCTCATTCCTCTGCTTCAATTCTGCATCCATCCAAGGCCCAGATTTCTTACTAATCAAGTCATTGGCACCATTCATTGTACAAAGCTTTTCAACATTGCAAAAACCAAGTGGAGACACAGTGGGTGGATGAGGAAAGCATGTCTTTGCTCCTTACCTCTCATCTGCACTGTCAGCAGGAGCCCATGAAGTGATCCTCTCTCACCCATCCAGCCCCAACTAATGGCTTAAAGGATTACCCCTGGAAATTAAGTTTAGAGGACAAATATAATTATCATTAGTATGAGTATTTGAATAAATTTGTTTGCAAAACTGTACTTGTGTGACAAATTGCCAGGATAAGTCCATAGCTGCAGCATCAGGCATCAGTGAGGCTTTTCCAGTTAAAAGGGAGCAGCTGAGAATACTCATCTTGTGTAGTGTGTTGCCAAGTCAAGAAAAGTTGCCATTACAGAATCAGAGCTGACAACCACCTGTCTGAAGCATAAGAATGTAATATATTCAGGATCCTACCACATTTAAACAGAGTAAGTAGGACTATAAACTCGCACTCCGTGCAGAATTTAACTGTTGCTGCCTTTCTGCCCAGGCTACAGCCCATGCTGTTAGCTCAGCAAAACACAGGATTATCCATCGTCTGTTCTGCTATGAGGTTCCTCACTGTGGCAGCTTGCAATTTCATATTCAGCTTGCACCTCTACACCAGTCCTCATTTTTCACATTTCTTCCAGCATCACATATTCCCAGATTTCTTCATTTCATGAACCATGAAGACTAATGTAATTTGCCCAACAGAAAGGTCAATATTTTTCTTAGTCATGTCAATTGGCACTGATCCCGCAAATGTAAATGTTTTAATTTGCATAGCAGAGTAAGCCTATTGATTTACTTTGCTTACTTACATTGCTTACTACTGCTGCCATTTTACTGTTTCTCAATTCTCAGAGGTTATTAGTACAGGTGTTAAAATTGTTTTCCAGGAGCTTTCATGAAGATTGTAAGTTTAAATAGAAGAAAACACATGATTGAATACTTGGTCCACAATGAGAAATATTATCGGATTATCACGTGGGTACATCTCTGACATTGTTTGCTGTCCAAAAGACAACATGTTTTTTTCTCCAATCATCTGACAGAATATGAAAATTATTTTGCAATAGTTATGTATACTGGACCAAAATACTCACCTTCACAATTGTATTACCCAGAAGTTGAAGAACGTGTCTGTGCTCTGTATGAAACGGACAGAGATTTATAAAAGTGGTCTTATGGCTTTGAAAATGAAGAGGGATGACACTTCAGGTCAGGAATTAAGAAGGCAAGGAAGAGTTGTCTAATAAACTCTCCCAAACATGTCCATGAGAAATGTGCCAGGACTGGCTTTACTGGTGAGCAGGAGGTGGTAAAATCATGTAGAGGCCCTTCTGTCCAGAAATGCTGCTCTATGCAAGATCTAGGACAACTTACAGTTGAGTAAATCCTGTGGAGATTTACTTGGATTGCTGGGCCAGCTTCATCCAAAAGGTACAAGGACAGGTCAAAGCCATTTCTGCTCATTTTTTTCCCCTTTTTGAGCACTTCCTTTGGGGCTGTAGGACACATAACAGATTGTGAGTATCTTAAAATATTTTACTCACATTGTGAGTATCTTAATACTAACATTGTGAGTATCTTAAAATGTGTTCTATTCAGAGACACAATATCTTAAAACATTAAAATTATTTCAAACATTTTTAAGAGAAAAAAAATGGCGCAAAACTAATTCATAAAAACACACATGCCAAGCCCTGAATGAACTCAGGGATAAAATTGTGTTGCTCATCCACAACATACAGCTCTGTAGATGTTTCATGAACAAGAATGTATTTGCACAAGTGCTGAACTGGCTGAACTGGAGGGTGCACAATCAAACTGAAATTCCAACACAATTTTTCTCCTCTGGAAAGTGGCTGCAGACAAGAGGGAATGAGACCATCAGGTTTTTAGCTACCCACCTGATCTCTTTAGCAAAAATTGACAAAATAAAGCAGGACTGCTCAAAATGTGATTGTCTGGTTTTCATGACAACTCTTGCTGCTTGGATGGTTCTCTCATCTTCACATTCAGTAATGTTTCTCTGGATTACAGGCTGGGATTAATACAAAATCTCCAAATGGCAAGCGCAGCCAAAATGAGACAGAAGATTTTATACCATGAAAAACCATTTAATTTCGGATCTGTTCCACCTAAACCCATAAACTTCCCATCTGAACACATCTGCATGAAAAATAGCTATGTTTCCATAGCAGTCAGCTGAAAATTGCTGTTGCTATCTGCTATATCATATTATATCAAAGAGGTGTTAGGCCAGGCCTGACTGACATTATTAACACTGTACTTTGGTGGAAGATTTCTGCTCTAGTACAATCAGGAGAGACATTAAAGAAATTAATATGCCATACATTACTGCAATTTTCTCATTATTATCATTCTAGATTTTTGCCCTTCCTTTTTTTTTTTTTTTTTTTTTTTTTCCCGCATCCTCTAATTCTAGCATGCATGTCAGATTTTATCTGGAAGATACTTTCAATTGTTTTCCTTCAATCTTAGGCTTTTTCTTCCTTCTATTACTGCATGCTCCTGTGAGAGCAGCACTTCATTTGCTGGATTCCACCTCCTAACTGTGGCCAATGTTTGGGGTCTGTGAATGAGATGATGTTCTATTATTTACAAGATCTGACACAGGACAAGCAGAGATACTACAGGTAATACCTCTGTGCCTATTCTACAAAGCCTGGCCTGGGATGAAAACCAGAAAGTCTGTGTTGGGTGAATAAATACTGATGGTAGTAGTTGACACACAGTCTGTGTATGGATGGTCATTAGGGTAGGTAAATGTTCTAAAATCCTAAGAACCTTTCTTTCTAAGGTTCTATTTTCACTAAATGAGAACTTCACATTTACTTCTGGGGAAAAAAAAACAACCCTGACTTTCACAAATATTCTGTAGCAATCCACTCAGTAACAAAAGCAGTGTCACTTAAAAAAGAATATTAAAAACTGAAGGACATATTAATGTGAGGGAAGAGAAAAAGTTAGCATGTAATGATAGATTAGAATTTAACTTTTCACTTAGAAGGCGTCTGTTTCCTATTTGTATTCAGCATATTCTATTCTATAAAGATGCCACACAGTGTATCAACAGGTTTCTTACCAATTTTCACAAAATACTGAGCACAACTTCACGTCTATGAATTAATTTTTGTCAGACTATTGTTTCCCCTCAGCAGTTAAAAAAAAAATCTTTAAATCTTACAGACATGTTCTTGGCAACCAAGATGTGATTTTATAGGGGTGCATGGAGCTGTAAATGCACTGAATGCCTCTTAACAGTGATTCACACGGGCTGTACTCATTCAGTGGATTTTCAGTTATAGCCTGTAGGCAGTATCACAACATGGACAGCAGATACTGTAGAATCATCACCTTTCATTCTTTTTTCCTCATTTACTGGTTGATGGTAGCAAAAATGTTGGTAAAGCACAAAAGGTCAGCATGTTCTTTGGCAGAGCTGAGAACAGCTCTGCCAAAGATATCAAAACAGTCATACACAAATCAATGAAGTGCCACATGCAGGCCAGCTATTACTGCATATGAAGTTGACTAAATCTCAGTGTGAATAAAACCCAATACATCTATATGTATATGTAATTTCCAAGATTTTTCTACTTAAAAATGAAATTGTAGACTCAGAAGATGGTGTTTGGAAGAGCCCTTGGAGAAGTTCTATGTAAAATCCTTTCATCAAGAGAGGCGAAACTGCATTTAGGCATTACCTGAAAGTGTTTGTCCAGTGGGTTTCTGCAAACTTTCAACATGCCTAATGAGTCTATTTTGCTATTTCAGGACTCCTATCAAAAAGGTTGGGTTTTTCCAAACACATAAATTAAATCTTCTTTGATGCAAATTTATATAACTTCTTTTTATTTTCTCTGAGTAACTGTGGAGACAAGTTTATCACGGTCCTCTCTCAAATAAACTTTAAAGCAATCCGTATGAAGATTGCTATCTAATCACCCTCCCCAAACCTGCTGGTGCCTGGGGTAAGCAAGAACAATGTTCTCTCATAGTCAATGCTTCAATGTCTTGTAACCCAGACTCTCTCTCTCTCTCCAGTTTCTCCACATCTTTTATAACCAAACACAATGTAGCATTTGAGGTCTTTTCTGGGAAAGAGAAGAAAACTTCCATTGTCTCTTGTAAGATACGCATGATGCTGCTATTAGTACAGCTGAGATGAATTAACAACATGAAATTATTACTTCATATTCTGCTTAGAATCAGTCTCAAACCCCACCTTTCTCTTGGACCAAGCACTTGTTTGCATGCTTGACTTTTCTTTCTCAAGTATTGCACCATGCAGTCATTTCTGAATGTCATCCTTGTTTGGGTTTTGTTCTTTGTGATCCCTCACAGTTGGCTTGAACTCTAGTCCTTGATGGTTCACAAACCTCTAGCATGTTGTGTCACATGTCAGCCCACGCTTCTCTGTCATCTCAGCTGTTCACTGGAATGTTGATTACTTTGCTCAGGAAAGGCCCTTGCAGAAACACATATAAGAAGGGCACCAAATTCCTGAGGTGTGCTCCTTCAAACTGTATTTCCAACCAGTTGGGTGCATTATATTTGTACCAATGTCCATTAACTTTCTCTTGTGAGTATGATGTGATGCCACTAAAAATCTTACTGAAGTCAAGAAATATCTGGATATAATGCTTCAAACTTATCCACCAAGTCAGAGGCTGTTCTTCAGGTCCCCATGCTGATTATTTTCAGTCTTGCTGATGTCTTCTAAGTAATTCCAAACTGATTTTATAGTTGCTTGTTTGAGAACTCTTGCTGGTATTGAGTGTAGAATCACAGGTTTATTGTTTGCTAAGTCCTTACCAAACACAGGCACAATATTTGATCTTCTGTCACCAGAATGGGCACTCTTGCTGCTTCTCTTCTTCGGTGGTGCCAGTGTTTCCCTCTTAAGTGACACTGAAAAGGGAAAATATCTACAGTACTATATTCTCAAGTTATGAACAGAATCTTGTTTTTCAAAAGGAAAAATAAGTGAAAAATATTGTGGCTGATTGAGCCTAGATTTCCAGGAGAGGGGAGGAAGGTGTGAGTATACTTTGGGTGTGGCAGAAAAGACAGTAAAAGACATGTGTCTTTATACAGCACATTATTCCTACTGTTAATCCTTGACTTCTAACAACCTTTTTCCAACTCAAAAGTATCTCTTTCTCTCATTTTCTAAATCAGTTTAATTTCTCTAAGAGTGTCCTGTAGGTGACCCACTTCCAATGCTTTCTAGAAACCCAGCAAGAGAATATGAGTGAGGTCTGATTTTTTTGCACATTTGTTGCCTTCAGATAACTCTAGGAAGTTCATGACATATGATTTCACTTTGCAGAGACCCTACAGCTTTTCATCAATATGCTGTATTTATCTGTATGCCTACCAGGTGTGATCTTCAGAACATTTCTGTTATCTTGCCTGGTATACATCATGTTTACTTACCTGATTTTCCTATGAATTCTTCTTTCCTTTTTTCATCTGCAGTGAAACAACTGATTTTTGCATCTAACAGCACCATTTTAATGGCACACCATTTATTCACTGGTTTTAGCCCAAAGAGCTGAAATTCATTGTGTTGTAAGACTTTTACAGTAGATTCTTTACATTTTCTTAAGTGCTCAAGCAGTGATTTAATGTTTTCACAGATATCATTCTGCAGAGTAAAGCCAGATCCTGAAGTACCAGAGATTAACATGGCTCCAGTGTTTTCAGCATTGTGTTAGAGTTAATAAAACTAACCCAGGTGTTTACTAGTTCCCTGTCTATGCATTAGCCCGATGGCTTTTTAATTTGGGTATCACAGTCCATCCACAGGACATTACATT